ATTTATAAATTATCAAGGGCTCATGCGGGAGGGGGGAGCGGGGAGGGAGGGGGAAAATGAGGACCTAATGTTGGGGGTTTAAGTGGAAAGAAAATGTTTTGAGAAACGATATACAAATGCGCTTTACACAATTGATGTGTGTATGGATTGCGATAACAGTTGTATGAGCCCCTAATAAAATGTTAAAAAAAATTAAAAAAAATAAAATAAAATGCGTGCCAAATCTTGTGAGTCATCTGCTTAAAGCTCTCCTCCTGCTTCCCGTTTATCTCAAGATAAGCCCAAAGCTCTTATTCTGGTTAACCAAGGATCAACAGAATCTGACCCCTACTATCTCCGGGACCTAATTTCTTCCCACTCACTTGATCCCACTTTACTCACTGTTCTGCAAATGTCCCCCACACTCCCTCCTCAGAGCCTTTGAACTGTGCGCTGTCTGGAAGGTTCTCCAAATGATTACATGCCTACTTCCTCACAGGTCTGTGCTCAAAAAACACCTCTTCAATGAAGCCTTGCCCATTCATCTTATCTTAATGGCCCACCCTTATTAGTGATTGTATACATCATGCTATTGATTTTCCTCCAAGTGCCCCAAATCAATAGTAGTTACCTTGTTTATTTTCCTATGTAAAGTTTATCTCTCCAACTAGAATGAAAGTTCACTCAGTGCCAGGCCTTGTCTTGTTCATGGTTGTATTTCCAGAACCAAAGCTTAGCACATAACAGCCACTAATAAACCTTTGTTGAATGAATGAAGAAATCAACAGTTTATAGCTTTGAAGGGTGTTGTCCAAAGAAGATGAAGATGGTATCTCTTTTAAGCACCATCCTTAATTGGAGAGTAACCTAGACAGCCACCTACACACATTCTCAGTAGTTGGGATAAAAATCACCACCCAAGGGACCAGCCCAATATTGTAGCCAAGCGTATAGTTGCAAAGCAAGATCTGATGTTGGGGACTTCAGTATGAAATTACCTTCCACTTTCAGTGCAGCATTTTAGAAAGCTTATGACTGTCAAGTTCAAGAGATGTAATAGTGAATGGGTTCCTGAAAGAAATTTGGTAGCAACAAAATCAATCTTTTGACTGTCTGATTCAAATAGTTCAGAAAATGTTCTCATAAGTCTTCTTTTACATGACTCTTCTACCTGCCTGAGTTGGAGCTGGCAGATAATATTAGTCTCATTTTTGAGATGAGCGGCATGGAGACTAAGTGACCTGCCCCAGGACATACGAGTGCATAAGTCCCATCTGATTTAAACTGCCTTCTTTTCTGCCATTGCACCCATTCATTGATTTACTTCGTGTGTTATTGAGCACCAACTACGGTTCTGGAACTCAGGGGCAGCACAGAAGGGTAAGAAAGCTCGTAATCTCTGTTTCGATTTTCAGTAAAAATCTTAAGTGAGTAATATGAGACGATATTGAAAGGGTTTCGGGAAAAATGCATTACCTTTTAATTCCACTTTCAAATGAACTCTCTGAAGCCTCCTTATAGGTGTTCTTTGGGTGGTGTGGCAGGGACAGGAAAGCAAATATTCCACAGTAACTGCTACCCTGGAATCCCTGATGGTGCAGTAGTCAAGTGTTGGGCTGTAATTCTCATGGTTAACAGTTCGAAACTACCAGCAGCTCCGTGAAACAGTTAACAGGCTCAGAAACCCACAGGGGCCAGTATGAGTCAACACTGACTCAATGGATGGCAGGGAGTGTTTTTGTTTTGGAATTGTTACCTACACCCCTCTTCTAACTTGATGTTAACCGCTGTAATCTAGAATAAACCCCATGTGTGCTATTCTCACGTTTAGAGATTGTGTAGAGAGAACAACCCTACTAGAGATGTCTCTGTAGGCGGCTGGACTTTGGGTTCAGGGACTGATGACACAAATTTAAACTCCCCGCGGTGGGGTCTCATTCCCGGCAGCTGGGAGAGAGGAGAGGCGGGTCCTCGAGGTGTGGGCGGGGTCTCGTGGCATGGGCGGGCCCTCGTGGCATGGGCGTGGCCTCGCGCGCGGGCGGGGCCTCGGGGCGTGGGCGGCGCGGCCGACGTGGCAGCCTGCGGGGCATGCGCTGGCGGCAGCCATCTTGGAGGCGGGGACGCGGCTCCGTGAGTTCTTGCTTGCCTCTTCCTGGTGGTCTCGGAGCCTTAGTTTTGCCCTGTGACGTCCCTGGCCCCCACCTTTCACTTGCCACGCAGGCACGGTCTCGGGACCCCAGGTGAGCGTCAACCTGGCAGCGGAGGGGCTGCGAGCGGGCGGCTGCATTGTGGACGTGGGCGTCCAAGCAGGACTCGGGAAAGTAGCCCCGAAGGGTGGGCGGGCCGGCCGGCCGAGAGCTCCGAGGGTGGTCTCGAACCCCCCCCTGGGCGCGGCCTGTGCGGGGCTGTGAGATCCCGCGGGTGCGGCCGCACTGGGGTGTGCATCGCCTGGCTGGAGGGTGCACTGAGCACTGCACCATAGGTGCCGATCGGGGACCCCCTCCCGGCCCTCGTCTTTCAGACACTTGGCTCCTGCGGCCCGGGAGCCGCGGGCCCTCCTAAGGCCCCGGCCGCCGAGCGGGAGCGCTCGGCCCCGCGGACCTTGGTCCGGCCTGGCCCGCCCGGAGACGTGGCAGACCTGCAGGAGGCCGCTCCCGCCCGGCTGACTCCTAAGTCAACAGAGGTGGACGGAAACCGGGAGCAAGCCTGGTTTCCCGAAGTTGCCCGGGAGGGTCCAAACCCGGCTCCCCAGGCCCTTTGCGGGCACTTTGTTTCAGCCTGGGTCCTGCCCCTGACGATTTGCAGCGAGGTCTGGTCCCTCGTGTGGCAGGGTGTGTATCATGGAGAGGTTTTTTTTTTGGTCATTCAGTGGAGTTATTTTAAAAGATGACATGTGCGCTTGCGTGATCCATTGTTTCTCTTGCACAGCCACAAAGTACAGTCAAGTCAGCGAACATTTATGGAATTTGTATTTTGGAATAGGAGCTGACCATGCAGACAGCTAGCAAGCGCTCTCAGGGAGTGGAGACAATTTTGTGGCCCAAGTACATTACAGTCATAGTTGATTTGAAGTTTGTCAGCGCTTCCTCATTCCTGTATCCCCATAAATAATCATCCACTTTTTTTTTTTTTAATCAGAAAACTAATGTGCTAGAAAATAAGAAAAGGTAGCCTGGGCCCAACTTTCCGCCACTTTGGAAAAAAATGTTGCTTCTCTAGTTCTACTTTTTGTGCTGCAAGAAGCACTGCCACCTTGTCCTTTGGGACCCTTCCATGTTACCTCAGTGGTTTTGTAGGAAGTAGAAGGTATTGTGTGAACCTGCCTGGCACACTGCAGTGGGGACGTTTGAGTCCACCCACTGGCTTCTGGCAATCTGTTCCCGTGATGATTATTGCCTATGAAATTCACTGGGGGCAGTTCTATCCCATGGGATCAGTGAGTTGGAATCCACTCAGTGTGTAACAATTACATTGATGCCTATAAAGACATACCTGAATACTGTCATGAAGTGAATTCTCAGAGTAAAACTCCCCAAGATGGGCTGGGAGAAACGGACCAGTTAGTTCACGGTATGGGTTGTAGTCACTGTACACGTTCCTTTGCCAGTGACTTTATTGGTGCTAGCAATGTGGGTGATCTTGACATCTAACTTCCATTAACCACGGTAAGAGTTAGGCAGCATCTATAGTAGGAAGATAAATGACCAGTGGAAAAAACGAGACAGAAGTGGCAGCTCTGGTGGGAAGTGATAAAATCCTGAGGAGCATTTCAGGCCCTTTGGTGCAGAGGGGACAGAATTAAGAAGTTAACTTGCCAGGATCCCATGTCCTCTGCTTCAGGCCACAGATGTTTTCTTCTGAATTCGCAACCAAACTTTTTGGAAGTTTGAGCATTTGGCTCACTGTTGTTCTGTCTGCATTCCTACCATGGAGACAACTCTTAATATTAAGTTGCCAAATCCATAGGATTTTTCAGATGTCATGCATTTGTACCTCTGTTGCATTTGATACTATAATTGACTCTATCTTACAATGCTCATTGACCTTTGATCCACAGATTTTGGCTTTCTGTGTTTCTGGCCATTTCTCCTCAGCTTGTTCATCTTCCTGGCCATTCTTCAGGGTTTGTTTCACTGGTACTCTGTCTTTAGATCATTTATCCCAATTCATAATTACAGTTTCTCAGGGTGGTTCAGTTACCGGTTCAGTTTCTTAGGGCGCTAGTCAGAATCAGTATTTCTACTTGGGTGTTTTAAGGAGTCTGACTCAGCATGTCTGAGACTAAACACTATATAATTTCTTCTTTTATTGCGTTACACGTTGGGTTGCTAACCTCAAAGGTCAGCAGTTCAAAACCTCCACCAGCTTCATAGGAGAAAGAGGAGGTTTTCTACTCCTGAAAAGAGTTTGCAGTCTCCAAAACCCCCAGTGGCAGTTTTACCATGTCCTATAGGGTTACTATGAGTCAGCATGGATTTGATGGCAGTACGTTTGGTTTTTGAGGACTTTTATCCCCAAAACATCATTAAGTGAAAACATTGACTTCTTGAACTGTTGCAGTGTTCCTTGTCTTTGTGAATGTCGCCGTTTGCTGTACAGTCATATAAATAACCACACCTTCCCCAAATCATAGGCACGAACACCTACATTTTTCCTGAGTCCATTTACTTTTCGTCATTGTTACTGTTACCTCCTCACCTATTGCTGAGTTGATTCTGACCTAGTGGAAGTTTACAGGGCTTCTGCGGGAGAAAGTCTTTAAGGGGGCAGGATGCCTCCTCATCTTTCTTCCTGGGAGAGACTGGTGGGTTTGACTTGTGGTTAGCAGCTTAGCATGTAATCTGCCACCAGTTTTCACCTCTTTAAAGTGTTCCAACCTCTGCACTTTGACATGGGTTACTGTTGTTGGGTGTATCAAGTCAGTTCCGACTCACAGTGAGTGACCCTGTGTCCGACAGAATGACACGCTGCTTCGCCTGTCAGCCTCACAACTGTTGGCCACTGTTGGCAGCCACCGTGTCTTTATCTTGTTGAGAGTCTTCCTCTTTGTTCATAGGTTTTCTGCTTTGCTAAGCATGATGTCCTTTTCCAGGGACTGATCTCACCTGACAGCTTGTCCAGAGAACCCAAGACAAAGTTTTACCATTGCTTCTAAGAAGCGTTCTGACTCTACTTATTGCAAGACAGATTTAATCTTCGGGCTAATCTAGTACTTTGAGTATTCTTGACCAACAACATAATTCAAATGCATCAATTCAGTTGACATACAGGGGGGAATAATTCTTTCTTGTGGATTACAGACGTTTTTAGCAGCATCCTAAGATCCACCACATTCTAGTAGTACTCCCAACCATTGTGACAAAAATGTCTCCAGTCATTGGTACCTGCTTCATGGAGGGGTAACTCCACAGACCCCTGTTTGAGAATCATTTCTTATTGGGTGTTAAATCTTACTCGAACTGTTTCTGTAACTTCCTCAATGGTCTGTCTATATCTACTCTGTCTGTACTTCGGCTCAATCTGCATACTTTGGTCAGTGGGATCTTCTCAAAGCACATACAAATTGCCCAAAACTGAAGTCAACTCAAATATCCTTCACCAGATCAATGGATAAACATTGAGGTGTGTATAGTATTATGTTTATATGTATAGTAAATATTGTTTATATATAACTATACATGTATGTATATATATATACATAGATGTACGAATACTCTTGAGCAATGAGAAAGAACCAGCTAGTGATACAAACTGCAATTGGATTGATTGCAAGGATGGATGTTATGTTATGTTGAGTGAAAACTGCCAGACTCAAAATGTTGCATGCTGTGTGATGTGAGAAAATTCACATGATAGAGAAAAGGTCAGTAATTGACAGGGCTTAGTGTTAGAGAGTAGGGTACATATGACAAAATGGTAGTGGGAAGAACTTTCTTTGAGGCGAAGAAACAATTTTGTGGATTCATTGTTGTAGTGGTTACACAAATTCAATGCCTGTGATAGAATTTCAGAAAACTGCAGCCTGTCCTCGCGCCCCCCCCAACAACAAAAGAGTACATGTAGAAACTGGTAAAACTCAGTATGGTTACTCGTATTGTCCCATTGTCAGTGGCATGAATTGAACATTGCACTGTAGGATAGATACCAATATCGAGAAAAGCAGTGCCTTGTAGGGACTCTGTTTGGAGCTGCTCCGATCACTCGAGACCTCTTTGTAGACAGTTTGTGTTTTGACATGTCTAGCTCCTTCATCATCATCTCCTCTTCTTGCCTTTGCCTAATTACTATCTGCTCTTCCTTTAGCTCTCACCTTATTATGTCTTTCTACCTTTTGGAAGTGGTTCTTTGTCAAACAAAACTCTTAGGTCTAGCGTCCTTAGTTCAGGTACATGTCACTGTTCACTGGAATGATCTCCTTTGCTGGGTTTTAACTTTATCACTGTATTTCCAGTGACCAGTACGTATAGTGCCTGGCATGTATTGGACCCGAAAAAATTTTAAATGTATAAAAACATCAAAAACTTTTAATGTATTTAAAAGTTTGGGTTTTATACTTTAGGTGAACATGAAAAATTGTAGGTTTTAATAAGGTTTTCCCATGTTTTGTAATCTGTCATTTTCTATTAAGGTCCTGCCATCTAGTGTCGTTTTTGCTATAATTAACTTTTCTAAAACCTGAGCTGTGGTAGTAATTAGCTATTCCTCTATGCATTTTAAATTCTGAAATGGGAAAATGATGGCTTTTTTCCTTTGTGAAGTTGAACACATTTTAATTTTTTGCTTTATGTTAATGATAGTCATCCATATATATTGCCTTTCAGCAGAAGGGGAAAGGCTTCCAAAATATATTAAATTTATTATTCTAATTTTCAATAGTGACAAATCTAGACATCAATATAATGAGCATTCATGTGATAGAAATCAGTAATTTATTATTTGAGATATATTGTACAATTAACTATACAGTTATTATAAAATTATTTCCCAGTTATGAAGTATGTACATTGAAGTTCAGACTGTTCACACATTAAATACCCTTGTAGGTGGTTTAATTGCTCTCTCTTGTGCAAGCACTGGAGCTTATTTCTGGCTACTCTATAATCTTATATTGTTCTGTTTTACAGTGCCCCGTATTTGAAGGAAAATGATGGAAGAGAGTGGAATAGAGACAACACCACCTGGCACTCCTCCACCCAACCTTGCAAGACTGGCCGCTGCTGCGATGTCGTCCGCACCAGGTTCTTTAGGTACGGGGTGTTTTGAGCTTATGTGTAAATGCTATTATCCATCCCCAGGTTAAGAGGGAAAAAATAATGCATTTATTAAAACTTTTCTAATCTTTATCAGGATGAGAGAAAATAGTCTCTTTTCACTTGAGCTCATAAAAAAAGAGACATGAATTTTGCTTTAGGCTGACATATTCTTTATTTATGTTGACTATACCTATATATATTATGATGACAAAAATATCCTACAAAGCATTTGTTAGTTTTGTCTATTTTTCTATTGATTTTGTGATTAACCTTCTAATGAATATTTTTGAGCCTTCAATTTGTAGGTGTTTATGTTCAAATCAGCAGGGACAAAAAGTATATTAAGGTATACATGAAAAACATTTAAACTTAGATCAATTAATATATATACAGTATCTTATATGCTGATATATATCAGCATATATAGCATATATATGCTGATATATATCAGCATATAAGATACTGTATATATATTAATGATTAAAAATAGACCAAATCAAGCATATGAAAACCAAGGGGTGTTTATAAACAGTGTTATAGTTTAAACTTAATGTCTATTGCTACTTCTTATGTAGGAATCAAAAGTCATTTGCATTCAATCATCCTTGCTGTGTAGCCTGATATATTTATTAAAAAATTCTTGGAATATGATCTCAAGTTTGAAATTTTGTAAGAAGAAAGTTATGAGGTCGTTGAAAACTGAGTAAAAGCTTTTCCCATTTTATGCTTTCTTTCCCCCCTCCCTCTTCCCTAGCGGCCACCAGCTCTTTTTCTTCTCCAAACGTATCCTCTATGCAGTCCATGCCACCACACGCATACTCCACCCCTCAGCCCTCCCTACCTCCTGTCACTCCTTCGGCACCGTTACCTTTTGTGCCTCCTTCACCAGTTCCGTCTGTATCACCGCGGGTTACTGCTATTCCACCTCCTGTTTTTCCATCCGCTGCTGCCACCTTCACGAGTCCGCCTTTACCCCCCTTCCCGCCTTCCACTTCTGCCCCAAGCACCCTAGTCTCTGCTCCCTCTTCGAGCCCGCCTACTTCAGGGTTTTCTGTTGGATCAACTTACGACATTACACGAGGTCATGCAGGGAGAGCCCCCCAGACACCCCTGATGCCATCATTTTCTGCACCTGCGGTAACAGGTAATCCTTTATTATTTATTCTTTGAAATAAATAGCTGTTGTTACTGAGACACAATGTACCCATGTGAAGTGTACATATATACATACAATGGTTTCTAGGATATTCATAATTACACTAAAGTCAATTTTAGAATTTTTCAGCACCCCACAAAGAAGCCTACTTAGCATCATGCTCCCCATACCTCTACCCTCCCACCCTCTAATCCCAGGCAACCACCAGTCTGCTTTCTGTCTCTATAAAACCAAAATCCAAACTCATTGCTATTGAGTCAGTTCTGCCCCACAGCACTCTGTAGGACATAGTAGAACTGCCCATATAGTTTCCCGGGCTGTGATCATTACAAGAAGCAGATCACCATATTTTTCTCCCAAGGATCGACGGGTGGGGTTGAACTGCTTAACTTTTGGGTAGCACCTATGTTAACCATGGTGCCACCAGGATTCCTGTCTCTGTAGAGGTCTATTTGAAACATGTTATATGAATGCAATCATAATATGTGGCCCTTTATATGTGACTTTTTTCTCTTAGCATGCTTTCAAGGCTCATGTACATTGTTGCATATGTTGGTACATTCAGTCTCCTGGTTGTAGTTGCACAGCTTACAGAAAACTCTCACTTGTCCTTTAAACTGGTTTTGTCATGGCCAACAAAGTGAAACAAAAACATACTCAAAATTTTACAATTTGCAGTTCCTGGACGGTAACTGGAACAGAGAAAATGCTAGCTTAAAGCTTTAGGATGCTGAGAC